CCACAGGCAGCCCAAGCTGGATTATGGCATGGGCACGTGATGRTGCAAAACCTTTATAAACTATTAAACTTGAACCAGAAAAAGGCTTTGCGCAAAGCTTCTCGGCAGCGACCAAATGGAATGGCTAACGGCCTCTATACGCATGCGCTGACTAACATTACACCATTACAAACCCCATACCACACGTTTATTTTTTAGAACATTCAGAATTAATAATCTCACTCTTAAYACGGAGATCCACTTCCTCTGAGGGTAGAATTCCTCTGCTTTCACGAGAACAGATCGTACTCCCACGCTTTTCATAGCGCTGACGTAATGATCTCTCAAGATTGCGTGACTGCTGTCAGGATAGATGATTTCCGTCACGCCGATGACAGTGTCACACAACGCTGAGGTCATTGGGATGATTTCTTGTAGTGAGAAAGGCATAATGGAATTATCTGAGAGGAAAACAGGAAAGCAATTTTTTAGTTTAAGTTCTTGAGATTAGAAATGCCAGGAATATTTGATTCGCTCGGCGGATCCAGGGAGGGGAAAAGGGGGCTTTGGCTCCCCCCTCCAACACTCAAGATCTATTCCTCCCCCCTCCCCCTTTATATTTTTGGCTGTATCCGCCCTTGCCAAGCGTAAAAAAATACCGATCCCTGACCCCCAAATCATTTATCATCCTCACCTCGATCTTCGCCGAAGAATTCCTTATCTCCAATCGAGAATAATGAATGACTAAACAGAGCGCAGAACAAAGACAACATAGGGACGATACGAGCTGCTTCTGATATCATTAGGTTTTGGCCCTGGTGAATCATCTGTAGTATGGGAATCTCTTTACTGATTAAAAATATATATACTRTTAGTAATCAACCAACCAAAATTTACGGTTGGAAATTAACCATTCAGATACGAGAAACTATAGCTATGCAATTTGACTTTCAAACTTGCCTAAAAAAAGAACGTAACAAAAAGCTACGCAAACTTCTACCAACTAGATAAAAACTTCGTCGTGCCAACGTAAGAGACTACGCCAATTTGACTTTCAAACTTGCCTAAAAATGGACGTAACAAAAAGCTACGCAATATTCTACCAATTAGATAAAAACTTCGTCGTGATAACGTAAGAGACTACGCAAATTTGACTTTCAAGCTTGCCTAACAAATGGACTTCACAAAAAACTACAAATTGCCAAAAGTTTCATTCAGTTCTTGAAACTTGGGGCTAATTATTTCATAGTAAAACAGTATCTTGGTTCTATGAAAGATAGCAACAAAACTATCTTGTGAATTCGGCGTGACAACCGTTTTTTTCTCGTACTGAAAATCTGTCGGATTTTTTTTTTTTTTTTTTTTTTGTGAAGTCATAAACGGTATAGATAATGACGACCAATTTGAATAACTATCGCTCTGGACTGACTAGTCTCTCACACTTGTCAAAACATTAGGCTAGTTATTTAAGAAAAATAGTTATTCAAATTGCTCACTATATTTCGATTTGGTGGATAGTTTACCCTGTTGCAGTGGTTATGGTTTCTATCAGGATATGCATCCAAAGTTCATGGATAAACACTGGATTCAATGCTAATGTATACAGTAATCTGTGGACGTTGGAAGAACAAAAGTTAATACCAAGCATCAAAAGGGTAAAAAGGGGAAGGGTTGATAAAAGACCGTATGAAATTCTTATGAGTCTACTGGTGTGGAGAGCAGTAATCCTTTCCCAACGATGCATTCGACAAACCGACATGGCCGCCATGTTGGTCGACATAACAAAACAAACCAAGACCACATCTTTTATTTAAGAAAACCATAATTAATTTTAAAACAACTATCATGAATCTCGCATTCTGGTTGGTTGGGAGCGCGTGCTTTATGAGAGCACACAGAACACAGCATGCACGCGCCCTTTCATTTTATGGAAGAAATAGAAAACGCGCGCGTGCTGTATGGAGTTATAAAGCAATTGGGAATTGGCAGAACACTCTAAAAGTGTCGATAAGCACTCCGCTACACGTCGTGCTTCTCCTAACACTTCTCTCGTGTTCTGCCAACCCCCGCGTGCTTTAGAACTGCACACAGCACGCGCGCGCGTTTTCTATTTCTTCACAATTAAACGTTTAGGTAGGGCGAACCTAGTTCTTTACCCAGAGAAAAACAAAACAAGACTTAACCTTAAAAATAGGAAACCCTCCCGCATTTTGTCGCCCCTGTTACCTTGTTTTATGAACTTGCATTCTACTTTCTGTCATCAGGTGATGGCACACACTACACAAGGCTAAGACAAGGCCATGAACATCACCTCTGAAAAGGTAAATCATTTGAGTAATAAAAGTAAGTACAAACAGACGTGAAATCCTGAGGGTCGAACCATGATCCTTCAGAGCTAGAGGTCAATGGTTTCGACCCTCAGGATTTCAACGTGAGTTTCAACTTCTCTATAACTTTTTAGCATATACCAACTTGTGTACTTCCTAAGAACGCGCGCGCTCATTGGTTAATTGGAGGTGAATATTGTACGATATTCACCTCTGAATTTCGGAATATTGAGTCGGCAACAAAATGGCATCTGCCGGCAATCGTTTTGCTACAATTTCCGATGAGGAAATTGAAAAAATGAAAGTCAATAGAAACAGACGTGGAATCCTGAGGATCAAACCATGAACCTTCAGAGCTAGAGGCCAACGGTTTCGACCCTCAGGATTTCAACTTCAGTTTTGACTTCTCTCTGTTCTGTGTTATCTATAGCTTTATATAAAGGTTCAAACGCTAGGGCGAGGTTCTGCATTAGAATTTAAGGCCGAGGCCGCGTGCGTTTGAATTGGTTTAAAATATCAACTAAGCCCTAAATTCCATTGTTTAGATGCAAAACATGAAATACTAAATTATAATGAATTCAGAGAGATAGATTACTGTTGCTTTGTTCTTTTGGAAATAGAGTGCTTACAATATATCCATGTAATTAAAAACTTATCCCGGGTTTATAATTCAGCACCATTCTCCCCTGTTGATATCAATTCCGCACCCGGCTTTAAGAATCTGGGTTTTCCGAAGAATTTAAGAACCTACATCAAACAATGGATTCAGGGTGTGGTTGATTTTTAAATACCCGTAATAAGAAGCACTGATAGTCTGATGGGTTCAAGGGCGCACCTTCAAGTGCTTTATACATGAGCTTCTGGCTTCGAAGAATCGTAGGCCAGGTGATGTGACAAAATAGCACTAACCTCCTGGACGCCTGTGTTTTATTGATATTTATCGTGACGAGAGATTCCAGGCTTTTGACATGCTCTTTTGAGTCGAGGATTTTCAGACATTCTTCTCGTATGGGATTCAAACGTTCATCCTTCAGAGAGAGAGAGAAAAACACCTCACGTGTGATAAACCAATTGTATCTATTTTACTGATGCAAGGAGGGYGAAGAAATGTTTAAAGTGGGAGAGGGGGATCTGATCTCTTTTTTTCTTCACAACAGAACGCAATGTAAGACAAAATGAGATTTCATTCTTGTACAAAAAATTGGAGAGGGGGGGGGGAGAAAGCCCCATGCTTGTCTGCCGGATTTCTCATCTGTACGATGTACCTGTACATGTAGCTAAGTTGGTACGTGCAGTGACTACTAATGTATATGAAAGCACTATTAGAAGTCCAGTGGAAAGTGATCCTAGTTCTTAATTTTAATGACAAGAGTAATTTGGAGATGGATTGTGTATAGTTAGAAGGATGGATGAATGGGTGGCTGGAAGGAAGGATGGATGAATGGATGGATGGCTGGAAGGATGGATGAATGGATGAATGGATGGATGGATGGATGTAAGGATGAATAGGTCAATGTGTAAGAGGANGGGGGGGGGGGAGAGAAAGCCCCACAAGTCTGCCAGATTTGTCATCTGTACGATGTACCTGTACATGTAGCTAAGTTGGTTCATGCAGTGACTACTAATGTATACGAAAGCACTATTAGAAGTCCAGTGAAAAGTGACCCTAGTTCTTAATTTTAATGACAAGAGTAGTTTGGAGATGGATTGTGTATGGTTAGTAGGATGGATGGTTGGTTGGATGGCTGGAAGGATGGATGAATGGATGGCTGGAAGGATGGATGAATGGATGGAAGAAAGGTTGGTTGATTGGCTGGTTGGTTAGTCGTTTGCTGAGCCGGATGCTGGTTGGTTGGCTACATGGTAGGATGGATGGATGAATGGATGAATGGATGGCTGGAAGGATGGATGAATGGATGAATGGATGGAAGAAAGGTTGGTTGATTGGTTGGTTGGTTGGTTATTTGCTAAGCCGGATGCTTGTTGGTTGGCTAGATGGTAGGATGGATGGATGGATGGATGGTTGGAAGGATGGATGAATGGATGGCTGGAAGGATGGATGAATGGATGAATGGATGGAAGAAAGGTTGGTTGATTGGCTGGTTGGTTGGTTGTTTGCTAAGCCGGATGCTGGTTGGCTGGCTAAATGGTAGGTGGATAGTAGGAGGATAGCTGGCGGGTAGGATGGATCGATGGATCGTTTGTTGGTTAATTGATTGGCTGGATGGTGGATGGATGGTAGGATAGTTGGCTGGTAGGATGGATGGATCGTTTGTTGGTTAATTGATTGGTTGATTGGTAGGATGGACAGATGGTTGACATTACACACAGTACCTGAACATATGAGACCTCCATTTCTGAATCTGAATCATCACTATCGGTTGGGTCTGTGGCTACAGAACAAAAAAAAACCGAATGACAACATAAGCAGCTGAAACATGACTCAAAGCAAAACACCATCAATCATGGTGAGGAAGAGTTTCTCTTTTCTCTTATCTACTCTTTCTTTCTCTCTCTTACTTTACCTGGTAATGGTAGATGTGGAAGAAGAAACTGTAAAATTTGAAGATAACAAAGAAGACTTTCTGTTGACAAAGAACCTAAAGAGGAAAAAATAGTAAAAATTATTCTATCAGGTCACTATTACACACAAAAAACATTTTTGGTTAAATTTACCCTGAAGTCTTCTTCATTTCTTTCTTTTTTTAGCTTTCCCTGCCTTTCAATTTTTCTTTTGCTTCCCTTCACTTTTTCTCTTTTGCTCTTTTATTTGTCTTTACTCTATCTACATTTCCTCGTCTTTCTTTTATCCTTAATTCCCTCAGATTATTTTTATCATTTATTCATTCTTTCAACCTTTACTCTTCTTTCATTCTTTCTTCCTCTGTCTTACATTCATTCATTCTTTTTTCCTCTTTTATTTTTTTTATTTTTTCATTCATTTTTGATTTTTGTTTTTATTTAATTATTCTTTTAATTGCTTGGTTGCTTTTATATAGCTATTTATATAGATGCCTTTGTTTGTCTTTCATTCTCTTTCTTCCTATTTTGTCATTCTTTTTCTATMTATTTAGTTTTCTTCATAAAGGGCTTACATTTCCCATCTCTTTCTCCATCTATTCAATTCTTTAACTCATTCTCATTTTATACCTAGATGTTCTTCAGCCAGCACAAGAATGGCATACAGTAACCATGGTGACAGCTTCAATTCTYGAAGACTAACACCTCTCCCCTTGGGCTTCTTGTGCATCATATAAATGGTCTCCACAAGCCTTGAAAATGGGAACATCGTCTTGGGAGTTGATAGATAAGGTAACACRAAGTTGACAAACTGTTCGTTCATCTCAGGACAGAGCATATCGTTYGTCAGTGCAGCRAGTACTTCATGCCTGAAATGACAATATTTTTCCGATCAATGATTTTCTTGTCCATCGCTAAAGTGTAATTTCTCAGGAGCATCATAGCCATTTTACATGGTCATCCAAGTCATAGCAAAGGTCTTCATTTGCAGATATTATTGAGCAAAGGCAGTACCTTCTACTAAGGTATTTTAAGACCCTGAGTTTTGGCCCAGCCCAGGATAGAACCAACCTCCCAAACAATATCCTGCTGTTCAACCAACGGAGCCAACCGAGAGGTGATTTTACTCATTCACTGTGCCTTTACTCTGACATGTAAACTATACCAGTTAATATAACATACAATCCACGCCAAAACTAGTTGAGACTCAACTTCCCCTTCTCATCTAAGCACAACACAAGCTATATCACTTTCCCCCTCCCCCTCCCCCTTAGTAATGTTGAGATGAACAGCTTGCGATTTGAGTGAGGGGTGTGCCTTGTACAGAAACAACATTGAAATGAGGGGGAGAGAGTTGATAAGAGTAAGTGGGGACCAATTTATTTATTAAGGTATGGGAATGTCCATAGAAGTGTAGTACATGTATAATTGTGAATTGAATGCCTTGGATAAAACTGTGGTGTAATAATGTTAGAATGTTGGTCATCACAGTGGCACACATTGGCTTCATAGCTCAGTTGGTACAGCATCACACCGGCATCACAGAGGTCATGGCTTTGATTCCCGTTGAAGCCTGAAATCATTTTTTCAGGTCTTTCTTTACAGCGCTCGCTTAGATCACTTATTCACTGTGATGATCAACATTCTAACACATGTATAATTATAATCATGGGAGTCTCAACAGTTTTGGCACMAATTGTAGCTTTTCTCTGCATTAGACTTACCTATCATAAGGGTACTCTTGTGCATCTCGGCATAGCAGGTTCACAGGTCTGAGGACAAGGTCAACTAGAGCRCTAGCAAGAGGTGTTGGGGGTGTTGGTGATGGTTCAAGACTTGATGGTACTCGAAGGTTGATCAAGGCTCTAAGGTACCTAAAATAACCTGGACCACATAGATATAACATTGTTTATATTATCAATTATTTTGAGAGAACTCTTTAAAATTAATACTCAGAACTTAAAGGCAACATTAACAAAATCAGCATCATCAGCATCATCATCATCATCATCATCACCATCATCACCATTATCTTCAACTTCATCATGCATCATCAAAATATCATCACCATTATCATGCACCGTTGTCTTTGTCATCATCATCAACACCATCATCATCATCATGCACCATCATCATCATCACCATAAAGCACCATCATCATCACCATCATCATGCACCATCAACATCATCATCACCATCATCATGCACCATCATCATGCACCATCAACATCATGTACCATCATCATCATGCACCATCATCATCATGCACCATCATCATCATCGCCATCATCATGCACCATCATTTGCACCATCAACATCATGTACCATCATCATCCTGCACCATCATCATCATCACCATCTTCATCATCATCATCACCATCATCATGCACCATCATCATGCACTATCAACATCATGTACCATCATCATCATGCACCATCATCATCACCATCATCATGCACCATCATTTGCACCATCAACATCATGTACCATCATCATCATCACCATAAAGCACCATCTTCATCATCATCATGCACCATCATCATGCACCATCATCATGCACCATCAACATCATGTACCATCATCATCATGCACCATCATCATCATCACCATAAAGCACCATCTTCATCATTATCATCACCATCATCATGCACCATCATCATCATGTACCATCATCATCATCATCATCATCTGTAAAAGGTAGGTATAGATACTAAACTTTTTTTAAGGTAAAACCATTATTAGTACCAAACAACAATAGGGAAATACAGAATATAAGAGTGCATGTCCAATAAATTATTGACAGAAACTAACCATTTCTGACAAGGAACATTGTCATCCTAATAGCATCTTTCTTGTTGGTATGAGAGTCTGGAGTCGTGAACACTTCAAGCATTCTTAACTGAACAGCAATTGGACTTGAATCTAACATGGACTGATCCAAAGACCTGCAATATATAAAAAATACTCACTTATCTCACTTATCAAATACTTATTTTACAATAACTTACAAATTTCTCCTGCACTGATTGGTTATTTTTTATCATCAATAAGAGGACAGACAGATAAAGCTGACGTCAACAAGCGCGCGCACTTTCCCTTGGTTGTTTTGATCACTAAAAATGAGAAGTTTTTATCGTTTTTGTTATCGTAAAAAACAAATAGACATCAGTTTTTTATGTGTCTATCCTCTTATTAACAATAAATTTCGTCATCACATTGTTAGTGTAGTATGCGGATCCACTCGGCTATGCCTCATGGATCCACACTACTTTGACAATGTGATGACGCAATTTATTGTTAATAAGAGGACAGACACAAAAAACTGATGTCTATTTGTTAACTGTAAATTAAACTAATTTATCTCCTTCCTTTCGTGCTACTTTCTTTGTCCTTCAATTCTATTCTTCTTTCTACATTTATCTCTCCCTTGGCTCTCTTTTGCTTTAATTTTAACAATATTAATGTATATGTCCCTAAGAGTCTAAATCTCTGACACATTGGTCTGATTGCTCATCTGCACCTACCCACTGGTCTGCCAGCAGCCCTCCCACCACCTGCCCCCTTTTACCTCAGTCAGCCCCCCTCTCATCATTCTGTCCATCTGCCCATCCACCCACCCACCCTCACGGCACAAACCAAACAGCAATCCACTAGCTATTTTATTCTCTCACCTACCTACAACACAAWACCAAAAGATTCTTAATCTGGAAAATCCATGTTCTGTTTCTTGCCTCATCCATCTKATCTGGCTGCAAGGCTGCATGATGCTTCAATAACAGCTGGCACAGCCATATCTACTCGTAAAAAACATGTCTTAGCTTTGATACAGGGTGTTGGAATGGTTGAGTTTGTTTGATGTGTTGGTCTCTGGGTTCTCTGGTTTTCCTCCCTCCATAAAATCAACATGTGAGTTGAGTGTTGTATGTTATAAATACAAAATGTACTATGGAGAGATTCTCATGGAATACCCCTGTATTGGGAGTGATGGTCGTTGTAAAATTAATTTAATAGACCTATCCCGAATTCGCTTGACTGACCACAAAACAATGGTTTGAAGTCGAGATTGAACTTGATTCTTTTATTCATCAAGTTCAACCTCGACCATTGTTTCGTGACCAGTCTTGGAATTTGGGATAGGTCTATTGCACCAAAAATTGCAGAGAAATAAACCTCATTAGCTTGGGCACAATGCTTTGTAATTTCAAGACAGTGTCTTTCTGGAGAACAGACTTCTTAGTTTGCTAGTATCCATGTACATAGATCATAATATAATTATGTATACAGTATATGGTCAGTATACATAGACCTCTTGTTTTTTTGTATTTTTTTAAATTTTAGATCATGTGATATTCTCTTAAGAATAAGATTCTTTGTTTGAGTTGAATCCATGCAGTGGTTTAATGGGAAAACATTATTGGCTATACAAGAAAAGTTCTTTAGAAGATGAAGTTTTTTTATGTTTGGTGTAATTTCTTCCAATTTCAAGCCATGTGCCATTGTATCGAGAATCATAAGATTATTTATTTAAGTTGTATCCATATTCATGTGTCCAAAACACTTAAAAAATCATAGAAAGAAATCATAAGAAGAGATAACTAGCTAAAAATTAGTGTCAGCTGCGTCTGTGTTCTAATGAAACAGTAATGATAAAAAGGTAAATTGTACACCGTGAAAAGATGAAAAAACTTACTGATGTTTTGCTTCGCCGGATGAAGGACTAGTGTCTGAAACGTCAGTGAGGTTTTTCATCTTTTCATGGTGTATAATTTACCTTTTTATTATTACTGTTTCGAAAGAAATCATAGTCTAGAGAATAACGCATGGTCTGAAATAGGAAAATATTATTAGTTTAGAAGATAAAAGGTATGACTTAGTAATGACCAAGGCAGAATGCATGGTTCAAATACCAGAACCTTGAAATGAAAAWAAATCTCATACCAATCTTTGGCTGTCCTTGGAATTTGAGTAGAAGAAGATGAGTCTTCTGGTAAGCACAGTTATAAGGTGYGAATCAGGGGAAGCTGTTTTTGTGYTCTGTAAGGAGTGTACTGTTTCATCAAATATTGATCTCTGTCTGTCATACTTGAAAGAACAAACAAAACATTAATATTATTGAAGCTGGAAGATTAACCTCTGGGCTGATTAATTCAAGGCACAGCTAACTCACAGATTGAACCATGGAACAACCTGCAGACTGATCTAAGTCAGGGCACAGCTAACTCACAGATCAAACCTTGAAACAACCTCTGGGCTGATCTAAGTCCCTGGCACAGCTAACTCACAGACTGAACCATGGAACAACCTGCAGACTGATCTAAGTCAGGGCACAGCTAACTCACAGATCAAACCCTGAAACAACCTCTGAGCTGATCTAAGTCAGGGCACAGCTAACTCACAAATTGAACCATGGAACAACGTCTAGGCTGATCTAAGTATAAGTTACAATGTAATTGAAAATAGGTTGATAAAGTGTATTAAGTTACCTGTTGATGTCGAACTTTTTCACCTCTGATGAATGCCTGTATCGTGATAGCACTTAAAATCCTTCTCTTGTTTTCCTAAAACAGAAAAATCACTCAGCTCAGTTACAAATAGGCCACCATTTATATTATTAAGGTTGCATGTAGAATTTAGAGTTTATGTAAAAATGCCAAAGGACATCAGTCACAGAACTAATAGTTCTATCAAAYAGTAATGATGAAAAGGTAAATTATACATCATGAAAAGATGAAAAAACTTACTGACGTTTCGGACGCTAGTCCTTCGTCGGAGTAAAAGAGAAAGAGGTGGTAAAAAGGAGTGTATATATGATAGAGTAAGACAAAAGAAACCAATGAGAACAAGGTAGGCAAGGAAACAAAATAGTTCTATCTTCTATACCTCTCTACTTTTTCTTTCTGTTTGAGCTCTCTGTAAAAGTGCAGACCTTTCTTCCTGAAAGGCATCATCAAACGCAAAAACACATCATTATAGTATTATTAAGCTTATAAATATGTTTTGCACACCGATCTCTCTTAAAGAATATAAACGATCATTAATATTGTAAAATACTTTTATTTGATACTATTTCTCTTGCAAATGAAAAGCTTTAGAGATCAGAATCATTTTGGAGTAAAATTTTCTCAAAATTTATGAAATCATCCGTCAAAATTAGTTTCAATTTACAGCAATTTTGACGCACGTTTTTAAACTTTTTACTTACTTTCTTGCTTGCACCGCCCAAAGATACTGTAGGACGACTCTTAAATGTGCCATYGAAGGCAAACATGATGGGGAAATTAAGGAAAAAGGATGATTTTTAGRTGCTTTCTTTCAAGATGTTTGAAGTTTATTTATTTTTGTTGAATCGCAAGCACTTAGTAACCGGGCCAATGACTTTGCAGAAAACATTTTCGTGGCACTGGAAACTAGTAAGCACAGGAATCCCGCACGCGTTTTGTTTGTAGTCAGTTTTTTTTGTTTTTTTTTATTATTATTTTATTTTATTTTGTCTTCTTTTTTGTTTCCTTGCTTCCTTCATTCCTTTCTTTATTTTCCATCGTCTTCGATTCTTCTTGAGTTTTTCCATCTTTCTTTTTTTGTGTGTGATTCATTTATTCGTTTATCCTTTAAGTCCTTCCTTCTAATTTTTCCCTCCTTTCTGTGTTCTTGTTCCATTCCCTTTGCTTTCTTTCTTTCTTTTCATTCCTTCCTTACTGGATTTCTTATTTATAAACATATTCATATTTGATTTGGTTTCGTCTTCTCCTCCCATTTTGGGTCATTTTTCAATGTCACTTTTGAAAAAAAAATATTGATCTCATCCTATCTTTATTTTGTCTCCTTCCTTCCTTCCTTCCTTCCTTCCT